CGCGATATTTGAAGGCCGCGTAAGAGTTCAAAAATCTGACTAGCACTGTGATTACACTTATGTAAAGCTATCACTGCAATACGGTTCTCTGCCTTGCCCCACTCCATCGTTATGCTTCGAGAGATCAATACAAACTGAGGTATATGTAATTACCCGAAAAGCGCTTAATCAACTGACACCACAATGTGAACAATCGGACAAGTATTAACAGGTCTACACTTGTTTGAAAACGAGGGACAGAACTTATGGCATGACTACGTATATTTAAAAACTACATAACTGGGCAATAGACACATCTGTACACTGTATACGTGGTCTAGGCCTTATATTTGTGGCATCTGTATTTAAACTTCAATTGGAATATATATATATATATATATATATATATATATATATATAGCATAAACATTAAGAAATTTTACTTTTATCGTGGATAAGAAAAGAAAAGAAGGAATACATAGAATCTTTTGAAGGTAACTCCAAAAAAATTTGGTCAGTTTTAAAAAGTTTTAATATCTGTTCTACAAAAAATAATGAAATTCTCCAGTCTTTATCAGAACCTGATGATATTAATAGCTTTTTTGCTGCTTTTCTATAAAATAAATCTATCTGTTCGGAAAAAATTAAATTTTATAAAAACAATGCCTTTAAAAATAATTTAACCTTTAACTTTAAATTAGCAGAAATAACAAATATAAACAAAATTTTAAACAACATAAAAAGTAATGCAACAGGGATAGATGATATTTCGCCCTTAATGTTAAAATATTGTAGTCCGTACATAGATAAGTATATAACACATATTATAAACTATTCCATTGAAACAAGCTAGTTTCCCGACAAGCGGAAAATCTCCATAGGAAAACCATTACCAAAAATAACTAACCCATCAAGTTTTAACGAACTTCGTGTGATAGATATACTTCCTGCTTTGTCAAAGATATCTGAAAGAGTGCTGTACGAACAAATTTATGACTTTTGTATGAGTAACAATATTATTCCTGGTACTCAGTGTGGTTTTCGTAAAAATTTTGGTACATCAGTGGCTCTAACAATCGTACTCGATCACATATTAAGAGAAAATGATAAAAAGATGAGTTCAGTTTTGGGACTTCTAGACTTTTCAAAAGCTTTTGATTTCATTAATCATGAATTGTTGGTAGCTAAACTTCAGTACTATGGCTTTAATAAGGAAGCATGTTTGCTTTTAAAATGATATTTGACAGGAAGGTATCAATCGATTCTATCAAATGACACATTCTCAGACAAAGCGGAGATACTATCGGAAGTTCCTTAAGGATCAATATTGGGCCCCTTGTTATTTTTAATTTAAACATCTGATATCCTTACGTATTTAAAGTTTTGTTAAAGTTCAGGCCTTCGCGGATGGCACCCAGGTTTATTGTTTTTTTGATATTGAGGATTACAAATATTACGAAAATTGTATAAATGACGACATTAACACCTTGAACAATATCTCATTAGGTCACAACTTAATCCGGAAAAATCATGTAGGTAATGATTTTTGGTAACAAATCTAAGACAGAGTTTTTGAAAGCTAATCTCAATATAATGGCTAATAATTCAAAATTGAATTTTGTTGAAAGTACAAAAAATCTCGGTATAGTTTTAGATTCTCAGCTTAGATTTAAAGATCACCTGAAAAATCTTATGCAAAAATCATTTTGTTCTCTAAAAGGTTTGTATGATAACAGACACATACTAAACAGAACACTAAAAAAATTGTATTAATCCCTAATTCTTTCCAATTTCAATTATTGCGATTTTGTCTATGGGTTTTGCTTAGATCAGGCAAGTAGGGGTTGGATTCAGAATGCGTGCCTCAGGTTTATCTATGGTCTGCGAAGGTTTGATCATATATCTCATTTGTATAAAGAAATTATTTTTATTAAAAATTATAAACACTCCAGGTTCACCTGATTCTATAAGAGAACCCTCAATTTTCCGACATTCTGTTCATGATATAAATGTAAGATATTTAAAAAAATTAACTATGCCGATTCATAGTAGTGCATTGTTTCAACGATCATTCTCATACAATCCTGTTAAACAATTTAATTCAGTTCCCAACTAGTTCCTTAATCTTTCTCTTTCAAGTTTCAAAATACAATATAAGAAATATTTGCTAAATAGAAATCTGAATATAAGTAGAAAAAATATGTCAAACAAATTTTATAGTAACCAGTAACCAAATTTTATAGTGACCACTATTAGTTAATATCTTTTTGAAATTTCAGTGTTAACATGTGATTATTATTATGATTATTCTGTATTGTTCTTTAAGACTTATTACTATTATTATTTTTTTTGCCTTATTTTGGTGCAGTAGAGTAGCTTTAAAAGTATTCTGTTTTTTTTTTCTAAATTACCTTTGTAAAAAGATTATTTGTTTTATTCAATAAAGTCATTTATTATTATTATTATATAGAGCAAAAGTTCCATTTGCATATTTCACTGTTCCAAGCAAATCAAGCTCGCTTGACGTCAAACCTTCCTGCTGCAGTTCTTTCGTGTCTCTACCTGCTACCTTACGAATCCGACACATTTCAAGTAAAACCGGACCTTTGCTTTTGCCTAGCTCGCCCAAAAAAAGGACTCAAGACTGACCGTTACGACAGGCCTATAGTTCTGCTTTCTGTTATAAGTAAGATGGTGCAGATGTTTCTTAGTCGGGAGCTTCCTGAGAATCTTCAACATCACTGTGGAAGCCCGTATAATTTTCGGCACCAAGAATCTAAGGGGGAATTCCAAACTTGTGAGCTCCGGTTTCTAGCCGAGTCATACCAAAGAGGTTTTCATTTCGACCAGTCCAGATCACCGAGAACTTGATCTGCCACGAACACGTCTCGACAACAGCGGCAGCTACTGAGAAAAAGCTGAGGCTATTTGTTTAAAGCTAAGAAGTGATTTCCTCGGCATAGCCTCTCTATATTCTTAAAGCGCTCAGATACTACCTAGACTTCTCTCATGTACTCTCATGACTACATTCCCAACTAACAATTATCACTCCTATTAGAGCTGTAAGAACATTGGTAAAACGCTCTTCAGCTATACAAGCGGAATGGGCACACGTAATAGGACACTTCAGTCATTTAACAGATTGTAGGTATACCTCTTGCAGCCGCTATAGAACATTTGCGTCAGTGCAAGATTCAGTTTTTGTCAACTATACAACTATTCTTTTACACGATTCTACTTTATTGCAAACAAACTATTTCTTATGTATTGTATAGGCGAAGTGAAGAACATTAGTATAACACATTACAGTCATCTTGTTTACTTACATATCGGCCATTGTGGATTTCATACACAGGTACATATATGATAAACTTCTAAACTGCGATATGGGGAAATTGAATTACTTGCGCAGGAAATTTTATTGTGATTATAGTGCAAAGTAGTTACGCTATTTCTACAGGCTGCGTATTTGATTCATATTTTAATAATGATCGAAAGAAAGTCTAGATTTTTAAGATGAAAAACTAAACTTATCCGCGTTAAATCTTCCACAAATCCTATATTTAGACACAATTACACGAATGTTTATAACTTTTTGTCTATAATGTGGAACTGAGACATACAGGAATTATTTAATTTTCAATAGAGGAATATATTTTTGTCCAATATGGCGGGTGGTTATGTATAATCAATATAATCATGGCATCGTCCATGTTGTCTTTGGATTATTAGAATATTTTGGTGTTGTCTGCAGGTGTTATATAACAATTTGACAAATCTCTGAAATGAAATACGGACAGTCGAATGATTTACCTAGATATTGTACCACATCTATATCCTCTGTTTGACAAAGCCTTTCCAACCAATGTACATGCGTTGTTTGTCTAAAAAGATGACAGTAGAAAGTTAGGTTATGGTGAAGTTGTATACTAACATATTTAACAACAAATGTATGCCGAGCACAGCAATTTTGTACTATAAAGGTTGTGATATTGTTGCAGATGTACAGCCTTTAAAGTTACTAAGCGACAGTGGTATAAGTGCTTCCGTTGGGAGCAATTTGTTGGCTAAAGTAGTAAATTTGCACACCAAAACAACAATGCTCGGGTTTGTCGTATAGACGTTACCATGGATGCCACAACACAAGTATTTTTACTACCGCGCAAATATGTCGTATAAAATAGTTGTATAAACGGTTATGCAACAGTTCAAAATTTGTCCTATAAGGTGTTGTATAACTATACTCTAAGAATATTTTAAACACCTCATTTTAGAGCAAATATGCTAGAGAAAGCAAATTTGAATTCCACACAACATTAAGCCAGCATTTTGGTGTTCAGGCAACAACAAAGAGGGCTTTTACGGCTGAATAGTTCTTTTACCAAAAGCTTATAGCACTAATTTGCTTGTTGGGTTATCTATGCTTGAAACTGTTCCGAGGAGGGCCGCTCGACTGATCGGGCTCTCTTCTGCCGCTATGTCAACAGGCTTTGCTCTCCTCCGTGATGCCGCAGCGCAATGAGCTTGCCAGGCATACCGAAATTTAGCACTCTACCTAAGTGACTGCTCCGGCAAATAAAAAAATTTGGTACACTTGGTAGAGCTTGAGGCGTTGAATACAAATATGACTACAAAAAAAAAACGTGAAGTGCCGTAGAAGATTAATTTTAGGTGGACAATGGGTTGCTTGAGACCTCCAGAGTGACCTGACGAGGAACTGACATATAATTCGGATAGAGCTTTTATTCAAATCACAAGCATTAAGGGCTTTCAAAAACTCTTTCCTGATCGTTTCCAGAAAAGATTCTGATGAAACTGAAAACTAGGTTTGGGGGTTGAAGGAGCTAGGATGATGGATATGTTGCATTTGAAACATAAGTGAACCCAACTATTAAATGCGACAAACGTGTATGCTGAAGGTAACGAAGCTGCTGTTTTCGTTTTCTCTATTAGGAATGAGAGTCACTCTTTTTATTTTCGATAATGATCAAAAAATGCATTGGTAACTAACTACGACTTACCTGTGAACATGAACCCCCACTTTCCGCTATTCTCTGTCTTCTCGTTTTCCGCCTTCTGTAGTTTCCTTTCTCGAACATGTTGTTCGCTTTTGGGTCCAACATCCAGTAGCTCCCTTTTCCATTACCTTCACCTTCTGGGCACTCACCAGGTGAAACTTTCTCCCTGGGCACTTTCACGAAGCAGTCGTTCAAGCTTAGGTTATGCCTGATCGAGTTCTGCCAACCTTGTTTGTTCTCTCTGTAGTACGGGAAGTTGTCCATTATGAACCTGAAATGCAGAAAATAGCAGTTACGTATTTATATATCTATGGTCTTAAGTGGCCGTTATGGTCCAAGGCCTAGAATTACAGCTGAAGGTGCGAAACGCCTTGGGCCTCAACACACTAAATTGTACCAAGTTTAGCGGATATGAAATACAGTTATTTAAGTTTAACAGTCCACCTCACTCAATTGGTATTCTTAATAATTACTTGCCCCTTGAACATGTCAGAATTATCTGTCCGATAATATAATAGGAAGATAAATTTAATTGGCAAGCGTTCATTACAGTTCCTAACAGTCGCTTAATTTGAGCTTTAACCCAGGAATCAATATGTTAGAAGTTTTGCATGGTTACCACCTCGAAACCTCATATACAGGGTGCGGCAGAGAGGATGGACGGTTTTAAAAAATTCATAAAATAGTTAATTTGTACTCGAAAACAAATTTATTGATGGAATCAGGTTCACAAGGAAATAGCATTTGAGCCAGTGAAGTGTGGAAAATCACATCAGGCATGTGGTGGCCAAAATCGTTGATGCAGTGCTGGAAGCGTTCTTGGAAGTTCGCGTAGACTCTGTCCAACATCGCTCTCTCAACTTGGGCGACTTCCACACACGTCGGATTGGAACACGTCGCCGTCGTAATTCAGGGAGAAAGAAGTTGGTGATTATGTCGACGTAGCGCTCTGAGTTTACGGTAACATCACGACCATTACCGTCTTCGAAGAAGTAGGGGCCAATGATGCAAGTTTGCGATACAGCGCACCAAACCGGTACTTTTGGGCTGTGCAGCGGTCTTTCGTGTAACTGTAGTGGATATTCATTAGCCCAATAACGACAATCCTGCTGGTTAACCATGCTGTTTAGGTGAAAGTGGGCTTCGTCACTCATAAACAAAATGAGGTTCTCATTTTAATCGATCAGTGCTTCCATCTCACGTGCGAAGTTCATTCGTTGTGCATAATCTCCGGGCTGTAACTGTTGCACAATGGCCAATTTCTACGGGTGAAAGCGGAGATCCATATGCAAAATTCGCCTTACCGAACCATCACTAAGGCGGAGTGCAGCAGCATGTTTCCGGGCAGATCGAGTCGGACTGCGAAGAAAGACCTGTCGAACGCGTTCAACATTTTCAGGAGTTCGAACTGTTCGCGGCGCTTCTCTTGGTCTTCTGTTGATCAGTTCCCCACGCCTGCGAAGTGATTCAACCCAACGAAGGATGGTGTTTCGAGAGGGAACAGCTCTATTCCGATGAATGTTGAAGTGGCGACGAAACTCACGCTGTACGACGATGACTGACTCATTATTTCGGCGAAACAACCAAAGGAGGCGAAAACGCGGTGCTCCACCGTCCAAGGCTCCATAACGACAACTGGTAAAATAATGCTAGGATCTCACGAGTCAAACGGCACCCTCCCCACCTCTCTCGTAGACGGTGGCGGAGAGTTCTACCCCTCCCAAAAGCGTCCGTCCTCTCTGCCGCACCCTGTACATCTCTAGTACGAGTCGGCACCAAGACAACATATACAAATAGCAAATACAGAAATTAGTTCTGTATTGTCTTGTCGAAAATAAGCACTTGGCACAGGCAAGGTTATTTATAGCTCGGAAGTAACTGAGAATTCAAATGACTTTTCACACCAACACCAATTTTGCTTGTCACCCACCACTTAACAGAGGTGAACAGTGGCTGAAGATAATTTTATTTGCTGTCAAAAGAAAAAATTGTCGTCACGAATGTTTGTCAGACAGTTACACAGGGTGTCCCAATATTCCATAGACATAGAAGTGCCACGTATTTTTAGACTCAAAACAAGTCGATTGTACATGATATACTTTCATGCAAAAGTGCTTCTTTTGTCCGTTGGAGGGCATCAAAGTTTTGTTTTGAGAAGGGTGAAAACTACCTCCACTATTACATAAAGTATAGCAGAATCAACAGAAAAAATCTAGTAGGCATCCAGTTGGCGGAAAAGTGCGGTGCTATGTCAGTGGCAGACTATTTTTGACAACAAGCTTTATAAAGTTTCAATTAATAAGTAATGTTTGACTTTATTTTTTTGACGAACTGATTGCTATGTTGGCTTCTGCGAAGGTAATTCTCGCTAAGTACACAAGAATCAATAAGACGCTTGGGACCTCTTGATACAATGCATTTTTTTTTTCTCGAAAGCTATTCGAGACGGCCAGTTTTTATAAGATTGAAAAACTGAAGTGAATACAAAGATCCATTAAATAAAAAAAACGGAAAAGTTTCAAAAAATTCTGCTATAGCTTATGTAGGGTAGTTTTCACCAATCTCGAACCCTTTAGAGTTTTTCGTGAAAGTCAAATAGGTATTAGAATGTCTATCAAAACATATGTGTTCCAAGTTTCATCCAAATCGGGCTACTGGTTTTAAAAATAAATTAAACATGTGTGACACTCTCTAATGGGCAAACAAAATACTTTTGCAACGAAGTAAATCATGTCGAATATATGTATTCTGAGTCTAAAAATATGTGGTACTCCTATGTCCGCAGAGTATTAGGACACCCTGTATATCATTTTTTGTGTTACAAAAAATGTATTGACTATGCCCGTGCCAGAGCCAATATTTCAAAGCAGCTTTTAAGTACTGTTAAAATAGCTATACTATTGTATCACCAGTAGTTGCGTCGATGCCTAGCAGCAAGCAAATAATAACAGTCCCGTACTCGCCATATTGTTTCACGTGGGTGAAACAACGTCCACAAGACTTATTTATAAAGTATACTTTATTTATATTATCATAGTCATTATCCACAGCCAGTCGATAATTCCGCTTAATAAGTTGAAAAATGAACTGTACTGGAGAAGTCGCATCTAAGCCGCCTTAAGTGTGGATAGCTAAGTCGGAATAACATTATGGCCTCCTGGACAGTATTCCTGGCTGGATCTTATCTAGGTATAAAGTGAGGAGGTTGAATAAAGTGTAAAAATACTTTCTAGCTTTATCAAATAGCCCATCAGTCTCTAGGCTATACGAGTAAGCTCTAGTCAAAATAAGTTAGTTACTAAGATAAAATAAATGAACGAATAAAGCTTAGTACCGATAAATATAAAATAATACGTATCGGCATGAAAAACAAGTGCATTTAAAAGCTATTGTATAATGAAAACACCTAAAATTACGAATATGTGAAAGAACTATGAACATAGCACTAGACATACTACAATACATAATAACATTACATGTGATCACCAACTGATGTTCCAACATGACATTCTTCTACAAAGGTTGTCAAAACATAGTAGTTCCATAGTAGTAGCATTGAGCTCTTATCATCTTATTTGAGCAACAGACAGCAGCTTGTAACCTTGAACCATGCTACCTGCCGTACAACGAGTGTTTCATGTGGCTTCGAACAGTGTTTTGTGCCGGGACCACTTTTATTTTCAATATACATAAGTAACCTTCCTAATTGTGATACAAACAAACACCTTTAACTGTTTGTCGATGCGAATACTGATTATATAAAAAAATAGTTTTTTAGAAAATAAAATGACACATAATGCTTCAAAGATACAGTCCATGCTTACAAATTTGTGTCGCCGTGATATCAGCAAAGCTTAACTTATCAATAAAGCTTTTTATACCATCGAAGAATTTTTAGATATAAACTTTTTGGATCTCTTATAATGGTTGTATAGTGTGCTTGTTTACTTTTGCCCTGTTTGTTAATTATGTTCGCATGTGCTTGTTCTATGGTTTTATATATTTATTATTATTGTTTGTTTACAAATTTAACTTAAATTTATAATATCATTTTGCAGTTTTTCTATTAATGCTGTTTTTTACAATTTTCTGTTTCTAACAAATTTTGTTGTTTTGTGAATTTACACTTTTTTAATTTAGCATCTAGTTTGAACTGTGTAAGCACGCAAGTGTACTAAGCACCAATAAAGAGAAGAAATGAAAAATTAGAATCTCCATTGCTTGCCGCAGTTAGATCAAGGCAAAAAATTGGCCCTCTGATTGGCAGCTAACATTTGTTGTTGCCACAGTGCGGCTATACTTATGAACGAATTTTTATTCAACAATTTTCTCTGTGAAAAGCTTAGTGGAATCGTACCCGAGAAATTTAAGGTATATCCTCAAGGTGCATCAGTACAGCCAGTGCTTTTTTAAACTCCTAACTTAAGTCAATTAATGTGACCATTTTTTCAAATACTGTCCAATAGCGAATATCTCGCTAACACACGCCTCATTTTCAGAGACTACCTGTTAAAGGTTGAGCAGTATAACTGAGTAAAAACAAGCTCGTGATTATTGCTATAGAATTTAAAAATATTATTTTTCAAGAATCATGTTTCAACCCCACAATCATAGGATCTTGCTATTATGTGAAAGAAAAATAAGGTTGACTAAAACACCTGTGTTAACATTACCATTGTGAGACAAAGAAGAGAAACCATTTCTTGCGCATTTTCGAATACTATTTTGTAATGATCTACCCTGCAGAAACCTCATTGTATTCAAGCTTGTGTATACTGACCTGTATATCCCACTCAATGTGAGCCTCTGTTTAGGTGATGACGATATAGCCATAGCAATGAGAGCAATGTAGGAATACGGCGGTTTCTCCGGCCTTGGTTGGCTGATCTTCAGTGGCAGGGGGAACCACAGCTGGGGGTAGTACGGATGGAAGAAGCTCTGGCTGATGAATGGACTCGATTGTGATAGACATTCGCTGGCTAGGTGGTCCAAACAATAGCAAGTGTCTAATTGGTGAATCGGGAACATCGTTGATTACACAGCTTATTGTTATATCATTGCACGATCTCGATTGAACGATCACTGGAAATTATGTGTCCAAGTTATATTCAGGTACGTGGTACGCTTTTGATCTCTCTTTCGTGACTTGTGGGTTGAGTGGGGAGTGGAAAGTGAACCAGCGAGGGTCGCCGACTGTTCACACGATCACGATTCAGTTCATGCGTTGAAGCCGACCATGAAGAAACATCTGGTTGGAGGCTTTGCAGTTTTGAGTTCAGTTTTTAATGAGATGTTAGCAAAAAGGTTCAAGAAGTGACATCAAGAAGAGTAAAAGGGTCGGAACAAAAATCATTGTTGAGTCACTACCACGTGGTGATGACCATATGAAAATCGGTTTAGCTGTTAAATTACTAAATGGTTCTTTTCATGAAAATCGGTCAAGTCGATTGGAACGTAGACTCATTTCTCTGTAAGGTTTTTAAGCCCCGACGCAAAGATTTTCAAATGAATGAACCGATTTGAGTGCAGTTTTTTTCTGTTGCTATATGAGATGAAAATTGCTTCGTCCGCTTGAAAGTTATGATTTGGGCGCGAAAGTGGGGGTGATCAGCCCAAGGCAAGCGATTATACTTGAATGTGGTATCAGGCAGAAAGGTTTAATATGCAGATCACTAAATTGATCTCTCAATGAAGATCGGTCATATCGCTCAATAACTAGGTCCATTTTCCTCTATAACTTTTGTTGTCTACCTTAGGGTAGATACTACATTTTTTTCGGAATCGGGGTAGATATTAAATACTGATCTGTTAGTATCAAGGTGAAGTGCAGTTTTTTAATTTGTCCAACAAATAATGCTTCAACAAGATCTTTACGTCATTGCATTATTTCTTGTAGAAAGGGCCTAGCCATCCTTTTTCTTCAAAGTTGTGGTTGGGCAAATTCTTAAGAACAGTCCTTATTGTAAACCGCTTTCTATGTTGTACAAACTATTTACTCGTTCTCCTATAAATATTCCATTATTATCGGTTGATCGAAGTTTAGACATTCTCAATAGGAAATGGCACATCCTTGATTGAGAAAGTAATTATGGTGTGCAGCTTCAATCTAGTGGGTGGTAAATTCTGGTGTAGACTGGGAAATAAACCTTACCAGAAGTATTCGTATTGAGAATAGCGCCTGTATCTGCTGGGACGTTATAGCAAAAAAGGATAACCACCTTTACAGCAAAGGGGTATTGCGAAAGCTTATTCACCAATCGTAAACTGGGTTGTTAGGTTTTAGATAAGATTCCGTGTTTCTTTTGTCAGCAAAATAGAACGAAATGGAGCATCACCTGACCATCGCCAGCAATTGCTAATGACCATTGAAATCCAACATTCAACATGAGAGGTTGGAGCATATTAATTGCAACTATCTCTTTCTTTTCTCATGACAGTTGCCTCAATGCATTGCACACAATATTGAATCCGTCCAAATCCTTCACCCCATGCAAGGGGGTAATAGCGAGGGCGAGGGCGGGTTTCTTGCAGAGGGTAACAATTGTATCTAGCTTATTGGGGATATGTTGAACTCTCCTATTTGTTGTTCGTCATGTCCATTTGTCAAAAAAAAAATTACCCGAGATATTTTGTACATCTCTACAATTATAGCATCCTGCCAAGTGCGGCTTGAAGGTGGCTGATATTGAAATGTTAAAGAAAACACATAGGTTCATCTCAGAGAAAGCAGAGAAATGACACATTAGTTCCTCAAAAGTTACACAAAACTTTTAAAGCAGCGGGTGGCTAACTTTGGGACACCAATGTATTTCCATTGCTCGCTACAGCCCTATATCGCTACCTTGAAGGTAACTGTCGGCATACCGTATGTAACTCATGTAACCGTTTTGGAATCAATCTTGAATTCATACTTAATTGCACTCTGCACAATTAGAGCTCTTGAGATGAAACTGACCTACAGTCTGCCAGCGTGTACCCGCCGTAATTTGAATTGCCGTAGAATGGCCCTGGTTCAAGCCCTTAGGACATGCTGGTTTGTGTAGCTTGCAAATTTCTCTTGAGATTATATAGTCATACCGTGCGGGTGGATTGATTGGATATGTACAGGGGGTAGGGCAACTAACAGGTTGCTGTGACTTGGGTATTTAAAACTAACAGGTTGCCAGAAATTGGCACCCCACTGACCTGATTTTACTTTTCGAGCTACGGATGAGCCACTTGGCTCAAAAACCAGCTTAATGCTGTAAGCAAATTACGCCAAATACCCCAGAGACTGAGAATCTGTGTGGCTCTTATAATTTGCACATTTAGCATAATGTATAATTTTGAGAATATCAACGATTCGGCCTCCTCTGAGAAAGTTTGCTATTACTCGCTCTTTAAAAATTTTTGGAACAAATATTCTCCAAAAAAGTTGTCTGTGACTGCCCCCACCCTGGCAAAAGTTCCTGCGGGCGCTCATGGATAGAGGCGACTACGAGGGTGGTCCCAGAAGTACCCGGCCTGACCTAGAGATGGCGATAGTTGTTTGAAAAATATCATTGTATTAGAAAGTATGCAACCTATAAAGCATATGTGTCAAGTTTGAAGACGCCACGTTGTTTAGTATTTGTTTTGCAGCCATCAATACTGAACGTTTTCAGTGAATTTGTGAAAATGGAGGAAATTGGGCATCGTTATGTGGTACAATACTTTTATTTCAAAGGCCTCAGCCCCTTCGAATATGAAAGCTGAACTGGATTCTACTCTGGGCAAGTCTGCTGCTTCGTTTACAACAGTAAAATATTGGGTAGCAGAGTTTAAACGAGGCCGTATGAGCCGCCAAGACGATCATCGCAGTGGTAACGACTCCACAAATGGTGAAGAAAATTCACAAAGCGGTAGTGAATGATCGTCGACTGAAAGTGCGCGAGCTGGCAGACATAGTAGGCATTTCAAAAAGTGCGATTCATAGCATATTATATTTTGACATGAGAAAGCTGTGTGCAAGATGGGTGCCGCGATTGCTCACAATCGAGCAAAAACAATATCGCGAAGATGTTTCAATTGAGTGTTTAGCGAAGTCTCACATCAACAAAGCAGAATTTTTGCGTCGTTTCATAACCATAGAGGAAACATGGGTCCATCACTTCACACCCCAGACAAAAGAACAATCAAAACAATGGACTCAAAAGGGACAACCGGCTCCAAAGAAGGCGAAGACCGTTTCATCTGCAGGCAAGGTTATGGCGTCGATTTTTTGGGATGCGCGTGGGATAAGTTTCATTGATTATCTTGAAAAAGGTAAAGCTATCAACGGCGAGACTTATTGCAACGATTGAGCGATGAAATCAAGCAAAAATAGCCGCATTTGGTTAAGAAGAAAGTGTTGTTGCTACCTCATGCACCCTATTCACCAGCTTTAGCCCCCTCGGATTATTTTCTGTTTCCAAACTGGAAAAAATGGCTCAGGGGTCAAAGATTTTTCAACGATGAAGATGTGATGTCGGCAGTTAATGGCTATTTTGAGGAGCAAGGCAGTTCTTATTATAAAAAGGGTATCGAATTTATTGAACATGTTGTGGTTTCTTCGTTGGGTCGGGTACTTCTGGGACCACCCTCGTATATGGTGAAAGAAGAAAAAAGACTATAAGAATAGTAATAAGGGTACTTAGCAATAAAAATGTTTCTGGCCATGTCTGGCCCATTCTAAGAAAAACCGCAAGCACTTGCACTTTAGGGCATTAGAGTATTTTAATAATATTTTTCCATATAGTCACCTCCGTCCTTTAATTCTGGCACCTAAAAACATTGATTGGACTTCGATATTTTATATCTAACAATTACCGAGCTGTTATTGCAAAAAAATCATTTTGACAGACTCAATCGTTAAGGTCAAATAATTCCTAATAATTATTCAAGAGGATTCAATGTATCTCCTATATGCTGACACACTTTGAAACTTTTATGCCCCTACCATTCACTTGCTTCTTCTTCTAGTCGAAAAATTCAGAGTAGACTTGTGAGCTATTAATTAGTTTAATTAATTAATAGAGTGATAGGTTTGGAATATAGCGCATAGAACTTTTGAAACGTGGTGGTGGAATGTCACGTTCATCTTTTAAAGGCAGTCGCAATGTAGAATGGTTACCTCCAATCGCCTACGATTTGGTTAGAATTTGAGAAGAACAATATACAGGGTCGCGCATCGAAAACGAAACAGACGCATTTGCTCAGTTTTTTTTTTTGAAAAACGCTCAGATCCATCGATTTTGTTTTCGAGAGGGACACAAGTTTGGCAAAAAATCACGTTAGCACGTGCAGCCCCCTAAGCGGGGGTGACACCACCCCCAAAATCTTAAATGGAAAAGAGGTTCGAGTGATACCTTATTTTAAAGGTCTTTCAATTCCCTTTATAATGACATAAAAGTAATGTACTTCAGTTCAGTAGTTTTGAAAATTTATTGATTTAAAGTTTAAATAAGACTAATACATCATCATTAGTGGAGATCAATACATTTGGCCGCAAAGTAATTTAAAAATGAAGAATGAACTGACCCGTTAGGCAAGTGAATGTTGAAAATGGCCACCATAACTCTCCATACAATAATAAAGATTTTGCTCAAAACGTTGCCGCACATTTTGCAATATATGAGGAGTAATTCGAAGGCACTCATTCACAATTCTTTGTCGCAGGTCTTCTAATGATGTTGGCTGAGTAGCATAGATTTTGCTTTTTAAATGACCCCACATAAAGAAATCCAAAGGTGATAAATCTGGCGATCTTGGGAGCCATTCAATGGCACCTCTTCTACCAATCCATCGATTTGGAAACGTCTGATCTAAATATTGTCGAACACGTAATGCGTAATGTGGTGGGGCACCATCCTGTTGGAACATCAACCTATTCGCAATGTACCGCCGATCATTCTGATTTCCAATTATGGCTGTTAATGCAGGATCTATGGCGTCTTCCAGTAATTCCAAATACATGTTACCGTTCAAATTTCCAGGTAAGAAAAAAGGATCACCTAAATACTAAATGATCGCCAAAAATCTCAGCCCAAACATTTAATTCTTGTGGCTGCTGTTATGAACCTCATGATAAATTCTGGGATTAGAATCGGACCAATATCGGTAGTTATGACGATTTACTACGCTATTTAAGAAAAAGGAACATTCGTCGGAAAAGCAAGTGTTGAATAGAAAATCTTCATCGTTTATAGTTCGTTCACTCATATCTTCAATTGTAATCGCCGAATCGTCTTCATTAAGTTCTTGTACCAGGTGAATTTTATACGGATGAAAACTATGGGCCTTTAGAATCCTTTGGACAATACGTCGACTAACACCACACACAGTCTCCAATTTGCGGGTACTTAACGTAGGATCTACATAAACTTGCCCTAAAACCCCAACTTCTATTGCTTCGTTCCTTATGGGATTTTCAATGTTGCGTTTTTTATTGGCGACTGACCCAGTTTCCCGAAATTTAGCTACAAGTTCTAGAACATATTTTCGATGCACGTTACTGTTCTCATGTCGCTCATTAAATATTTCTGCTGTTCTATTAGCGCACTGGTTATTTCCGAAAAATATTTCGAGAATTTCAACTCTTTCTGCTGTGGAATATACCATGGTTAATTTATGTAATAAAGTGTTACAAGTTATTTTAGCAACAAAGTTTGGTCAAACCAATCAAAAGCTATGTACTAAATTCCTATTTAAAATAAGTACGAGATATTTCCTTATCTCTCTTCAAGAAATAACTTTTTGCCACAAAAAAACGCTACAATAGCTATTTTCAACAACAAAATGATAAACAAACCATGGGCGTAGTGAAAAAAAGCATTTACTTATTAAGTAAATTATTTTAGTCAAATTTCTTCTGAAAGTAGTACAAACTAATCTCATCTACCTATTAAAGTCTACGTTAAGCTTTAAATCAATAAATCTTCAAAACTACTGAACTGATGCTCATGTATTTTAGATCATTATAAAGGGAATTCAAATAAGGTATCTCTCGAACCTCCGTTCCATTTAAGATTTTAGGGTTGGTGTCACCCCCGCCCAGAGGGCTGCACGCGTTCACATGATTTTTTGCCAAACTTGTGTCTCCCTCGAAAACAAAATCGACGGATCTGAGCGTTTTTCAAAAAAAAAAACTGAGCTGCCAGTAAATGCGTCTGTTTCGTTTTCGATGCGCCTCCCTGTACTTCTATCTCGGTACATTATGAAGCTCACGTGGACAATGTCACTGATGATTACAGCTTCTGCGTTGCCATCTAACCCCTACCCTGAAGGTTTGGGATTAAAAAGTTTCAACCCCTCCTCCAACGTACCAAGTTTGTTTTACGATTCAATGTGACTAACTGTTCGCTATTTCTTATCTAAGCATTTTAAAAAATAAAATAAATCAAATCGCAGTGTACTATGTAAGACGCTTTCAGACTTTCAACAATCAACAGGTAGAAATTTTATCTGGTGAGGACTCGTTAATTAGTCACCATGAGAATCAATCCTGAACTGTAACTTGGACACAAAAACAATCACATTCCCGCTTCACCATCCGAAATCACTGCACTGTCACTATAGAGTCACTAAGCCGCGTTTACCGAATCGTGCTGTACTGAAAGTCCTGAGGGAATACACCGACTTAAGCCGTTCGTATCCCACCAATAGGAGGAGAGTTGCGAGATTTGGGGCGTGGTTTACTTAAGCCATGGCCTACTGGGATACGTAAGAGTGATGACAATATATAAACAGTTTCTCGCTCATAAATTAAATTTTGTAGTCTTTAATGTAAGTTATTATTGGAGGTTCTAGGATAGAATTTTGTCGTGCTGTTGTAGGCCAATCGATAGAGAAACAAAGCTATGTGCGAAAAATTTTCTGTATAAGAAAGCATTTGCCGAATTGTTGTTATTGACAGAACACTATTTCCTAGGAGGCCATCGGACCGGATCCCCGACGGCACTAGAACATTCAACACTTATTGTTTCTCACTTCACAAGTATATTGGCACTCGCTGACAAGAATATTCAAAAAGCGCCTCTTTTAAGGATCGGCATGTTGCCATGCTCAAAATTATGTCAACTATTTAAGAAAGGAATTACAGAATTCCAAAAATTAGGTTTTTGATCCAGACAAATTTTGTTAGGTTAGGTTTTTTTGAGTTATTTTGCACAAAAAAAGTTCTTATGAAGTTTTCTCTGAAATTGATAGTTTTCGAGATATGCGCGATCCGATGTTTAAAAAAGCGCAAAATTTGACCCCAAAAACGGTATTAAAAAGTAAAAATTCAAATGTCGCCACAGTGTCTAATTTTTTCAAACTCTCTCTTATAAAATCCCAAAGCATTTTGAAACGTATTGTTGTGTTGTTATTGTAAACCTTTGTTCTTCAATGTATATTCTGCATGAGTACGAGCAAGATACAACTGGTAGCCGCCCTTATCGCTTATATCTGAATCAAACAGTTTATTTCCAAGTATTTAATGTTACAAACACCATCCCTCAAGTCAACAAATACAAAAATGCATTCAAATAAAAAACAATTGGTTAATTTTGGAGCTATAACTTGGTTCAGAACGGCTTTTGATGTTTTTAGTTGATTTATTAAGAATTGCTGCGTAATAGTTCACAGGAAAACGACTTCTTTGGAGTCTTTAGATGTTAGTTTTTATGTCCCTTTTTACGAGTGTTACACTCATGAAAGTCACAATTCAAGGTATAAAACTTCTGATTCTTATATGCAGACATGAGACACTCGGATATGTACTATACAGTGTGGCCCATCCATGTGTGCATGGAATATTACTAATAGACAAATACATTTTAGGAAAATCTATTAATGGGATGTTATACATGAAATTTGAGGGTACATTTCTAAAATACTGACCGTTATACAGGGTGTCTCAATTTCGACCTACACATCAATGTTGTGATTATTCAAACAGGATGCCTCAAATTGTATTGCATATTTGGATAAAACAATTCAAAAGAAGAAAATTGATATAACATATGATGGGGTTTTGGTAGTTAGCTACTGAGATATAAGGTGTTTTTTCTAGAAAAACCCGCCACTTCGGCAACCCCTCAGTCCGCCATTTTGAATTTTGGAGTGCTGAATTCTATATCAAAGAAAACTTACACATCTCAGCTTTTATCTTATTTGTTACTTTTTCGAATTTTAATTTTTGCTCATACAAATTGCAGTTTTTATCAAAATTTTCAAATGCATCACCCTGTATATTTGTGCAAGTTTGGATTCAATTTTTTAAAGTTTTTTTTGATACTAGACACATAAGGCTTCTTACGGCTATGTGTTCGGTTATTAGCACGTCATTTATGTAGCTGCTTAATTCCCTAAAATACGAGGGATGTCTTTTAAGTTTTGCATATAGAAACATAGTAGGCCGCGCGGATCGAGCGTCAGTATTAAATCTTAACGTCACTCTTTAGTAAACTTAAATTCAAACTTTCACAGCAATACGTGCAGTGTTCTCACTACAGTGAATTTTTAAGTGTCACCAAGTCATTAGAAAACCGAGAACATTTTCGCGCCATAATTTATTACAACCTTCAGAGACAATTATCGCAACAAGAATGCCTTGCTGAGTTGCTGTCTGTTTTTGACAACGAAGCGCCACATCAGTCGACAATTTCCCGTTGGTATGGAGAATTCAAACGTGGACGGGTGGGTCTTAGCGACGATCTCAGGGTGGGTGCACCAAAGACGGCGATGCTGTGCGCAAACTCATCATTGAAGATAGACATGTGACATATCGCGAGATTGAGGCGTCCTTGAAGATCCCAAAGACCTCAATTCAAAAAATTTTACATGAAAAATAAGGAGTAAGAGAATTAGTTTCTCTTTGGATACCCCGCATGTTGACTGAAGAGCAGAAAGAGACAGCAGGGTTAATTGGTGTCAAAAAACGATTGACCATTTCAATTCCGGAAACTCAAAAAATGTGTACAGCATTGTTAGTGGTGATGAATCGTGGATTTACTGTTATGAACCAGAAAATAAACGACAGTCGGCTGTTTGGGTGTTCCGAAGTGAAGAAAAGCCAACAAAAGTCATCCGTTCTCGAAGTGTTTCGAAAAAGATGGTCGCGACATTTGTGTCAAAAGCGGATCATATTGCAACAATTCCTCTTAATGAGCAAAGAACTGTTACTGCGGATTGGTATACCACCATTTGTTGGCCAAAAGTCAACACCGAGCTTCGAAAAATCAACCCCGAAAGAAGAATCATCCTCCACCAAAACAATACAAGCTCGCACACAGCCCAAAAAACGAGGCAGTATTTAACGGAAGGAGACGTGGAATTATTGGACCATCTTCCATATAGTCCCGATCTAAGTCCGAACGATTTCTTTATTTTCCCGAAAATTAAAAACAGACTGCGTGGTCAAGGGTTCCAGTCACCTGAAGAAGCAGTCGACGCATTCAAAAATTCCGTTTTGGATCTGCCAGCAAACGAGTGGAATAATAGCTTCGAAAATTGGTTCGAGCGCATGCAGATGTGTATTAATCTTCGAAAAACAATAAAGTCATTTAAAACTACCTACCGTATTGTTTTATTTCTATATGCAAAACTTAAAAGACTCCCTCGTATCGCATCATCCGTGGAAACAAATAAATTGTGGATTAGTTACAAACTGTCAAAATTAGCTTTGCGAGCATTATAATAAAAACTTGTTTGGAAATGAATTTTTCTAAAGAAGAAATGGTGAATATGGTGTTCGTTTTGGGCATCTCGCATTTATAAGCAAAGGTACCCTATATGCGACATCCAAAGCCGGAAACATTTTCCACACTGCGAGAACGTGTTGAATCAAGTGGAGCAGTGAAATATAGTAAAAAATATATAAGTAATCCAAGTATCACCAATGAGGCGAATCAGTTGGAGGTTCCATTATCGTTGCAGGAAAATCCCCATTTGAGTGCACGGCAAATTGGAGCAGAAATGTTATATGCAGAACTTCTGTCCAAAGGATTATTCACAAGCATAGGTACCATCCATATCACCTATGCTTGCATCAAGGCCTTCGTCCTCAGGATTTCGCAGCTCGAATGGTGTTTAGTAGAATAATGCTAAATAAATGAGTGAAGACACTACTTTCCTGGATAAGGTTCTTTTTAGCGATGAGGCAACTTTTAGCAGCATATGTATTGTCAACAGGCATAACATGCACTATTATGCGACGGAAAACCCTTACTGGGTCAGGCAAATAAATTTCCAAAATAAATGGAGCTTGAATGTTTGGGGGGGATTATTGGCAGACAAGTTATCGGGAATTTCTTTTTCAAAAACAGGTTAACCTCTACAGAATACTTGACGGCGCACCTGCGCATTATCATAATCGTGTGCAAACAAATATCTCGAAAACTATTAGCTTTAGACACTACTAACAAGTACGAGAAAATAAGATTTTTAGGCCAGTTGTTGTATACAAGGTAGCACAAAAAAGTGGTGATAAGTTATCTACCAAAATAGTGCTGTAAGTGGCGCCCTCTAGAAGTATAGGCATAAAAAATAACGGATTCTTATTTCTCATACCAGAAAACTTTCCTATACCGAGTTTCATGCCAAAATCTGAAATATTTCTCAAGTAATAAGGAAAAATAGAAAATAAGGTTGTAACTTTGACCGTGTATCTCGCAAACTATCAACTTTTGGACTGAGGTATGTTTAGGTTAATTTACATATTTTGGTCTGTAGTATCTCCAAGTCCGAGATTTCCCAGCCATTCGCGGACACCCTGAATAGGTATACATAAATGTATGTATCTTGCAGTAATTGCTAAAATTGGAAGGTCACTTGATATTTTCCCTATATCATTTTCCACCAATTACAGCTTTTTGTTGTAGAGCAGATATTCTAGCCATTACACTGAGAATATCCCCAGGTTAAAGTTACGTATGTAGCAACTGGTTAAAGAGTGGGTTAGTATTTCAAAAGAAGGCATTCTTTAAGGTTACGAAGTAAGAAATTGCCCTTAAATAGTCAAATTGACGACTTGTCAAACATTAACGTAGGGTCCTTAGTACACTGCCAAACATCTCACCAATTTTCTGAAACTATCAAAATTACAGAAACATTTATAAGAAGTTTTTTTATCCAGAATGATCCACAAACCTGAAAAAACGCTTAATAGGACCATGCAAAAAAAACTGAATGATAATATCTTTCCGAACAGATGCGAAAATACTTCCTGGACCAAAACAATGCCCAATCTATTGATTTTGTATTATGTACCAACTAATAGTTTCCCCGGAGGTACTGTATGAAATTTTTTTATTTTAATCTAGATTTTCCAGAGTTTTGCCTTTTGTTGTCTAGAGCTTCACACTCGCAAAGTCGTATAGTTTTATTCTAAGCAGGTATTTTTTCAGTCGACTGGTGGTTGCTAGAAGTCCTCTGACCATACGGGGTCCATTATTAAGCAAAGAGAACAGTTCTGCTGAACTTTTCTCGTATGCTTTTAGAGAAAATTGAAACTTTACGTATTGAATCTTTTCACAATTTTTTTCATTGAGTGACAGCAGATTTATCAACTAACTTGCAACTTCTCGTTCGTGTAATTTCCCTATACCGTAATGTATTATTATTTACTTACATTCACATAATGAAGATTCCTGAATAAACTCGGGATAAGGCGAAAGCCTGAAAAAGAAAGAACAGTATTCTTCGCCTAAGTCCTATTATCGACTACTGCCCTCATAAACTTAAACAGTACTCTTCACTGCGAAGC